TCCTCGAGACCACCGAAAATTATACTTTACAAATTCAGGTGTTGTTTGTTTATCACTTCCCCGAGTCCCCGCGCGTCCCCTCCCACTTTTAGTCACAGCCGAAGCAGCCATGTGCACTACCATCGAATGATCATTGTCATACATAAATTTTAAGGAAGACCTCTAGCTTGTTACGAATCTTGATTCACGTTTGTACCTTTCTGTTATTTCCTACTAAATATTCTACCATCTTAAGTATAGATACACACATTTGCATAGATCGTATTATTGATACGTACTATCAGTTTTACTTTTTTTTCCGATTAGTTAGTATACCCAATCATAGCTTGGTAAGTTTCAGGAATGAATTTGCTTCAGCTAAGCCAACATTGAAAAGACTTATAATTGTATTAATGCCTGTTATCTAAAAGGAATAAGAATAGCAGCGAATGAATTTTCAAGCGCGATGTCGTCAAGTCCATAGGACTAACATCGCGGCACTTATGGGAGGACAGGACAGCTTTTGGTGGGTAACATTTCTAAGAAGGCTATAAAAGATTGAAGTATGTTTCAGAGCGTCTTCATTGAGAAAGCGATTTCACCAATTTAGGACAAACTCTTGATATGTACTCCGAAATCTTCCTCATGGATTCCTTGACGGTCCATGATTATCGATGATCATCAGTCGATCGCTCAAATTACTCAACGTTTTTCTACCCACAAAAATCAAATGTACCCAGAAAAACGAGAAAGTCGTTGGTGTCGAGGGGAAGACGATAGAAAATCCAAAGGATGGCTTCGATTTCCTTTAATCTGAAATAAAATCAAAGTTTGACGATCCCCAAGATTTCAAGGGATCATCGGTCAACTAATGAGACACCGAGCGCTTTATCATTATTCCATATGGCAAAAAAATAAACAATGTTTATCTGTGAAAGAGAGACTTCTATACTGTGTGCCTTTGTAAAGTGGAAGGTAGTAGTAAATTCAGACACTAATTTCAGTTATGATCAAATGTTTACAGCTGGTTGAATAACAACTGGTATTTACACTTTACTGAGCTTGGGAAAAGTCCCGCAGTTTCCCTGCTGAATTTTTTTAATTTTTCAAAAGCTTTAACACAGTTAACTTAATATCCAAAAATCCTCTCGCTACAGAAAGTGCGAGAAGTTCTGTTATAAAGTGGGATAAGTGTTATTACAGAGGAAAACAGGTATTACAAAGTGCGACGATTGTCACAAAGTGCGACAGAAAAACTAAGCTGTAAACAACTTGGTAATCATTTCTTAATGAGCAGTCCACATATATGAATGATTTTCATTTAATAGCAGTCTCTTGCTCATCACTTCATGAGCTTGTTACGCAGCAAAAAAATGACCAGCTCCCAGTTGACTTGCTAACTCAGTTGGTAGGGCACTACTCCGATATCGCAGAGGGTTCAACTCCCGTACAAAACTGAATTTCCTTTTTTAAAAGTAAACCTCTCACAGAGAACTTTAAGTTTGTAGCGTAAAGCCCACCAATTTACACCCTCCCTCCTATCTACCACCTCTCCCTGAATAAGAGTAAACTGCCGCGATGTCACCATTTAAAAATTGGTACATGCGTCGGCGTTGCGTTCATCGAGGTGTGAAGCACGCGGGAAGTTTGGAGAGCGAAAAAGATGCGGAAGAGTCGCTGGGGGCGTAGGCGGAGTGCGTTTTTAACTTTCTCAGTGCTTCACATCTCAATACTCGCACAGATGACGCTTGGCCTGATGTTTTCTCACATTTTCAAAGCAGTAGATTAGATATCCCAATAAAAAAAGATTTGCCTCTGCTATATGCATGTCATCAACGTGCACACCAGGAACGCAAGGCACGCTGGCGCTTTAAAAATTGCTTACCTAAATTTACCAAAAATGTTTCAGGTGCTTAGATGATAATCACTTTTACGATATCAAAGAGTATACAAGCAGAGAAGGGTAAGGACCGATTTACTTTGAAATTTCAAAATCGCCGATAAGTTTCAAGGTGAAGCAATTGTATAGCCTTGATGTACCAAGGGGATGTACCTGACGTCTAGAAGATTACACTTTCACCTCTCACTTTATAATAATTAAAATAATGGACGAAATAAAACGGGGAGTTAATTTCTCTCATATTATTTATTTAATAAAACTAAATATGGATACGATTTCACTTTTGGAGCGTTCTTCATTTGGGTACTGCAATACCAAAACATAGTGACTCACAACGACTGATCACATCAAGGGCGAACATCGTAAGAAACAAAGAAAAGGAAATACACATGGCTAGGAATAAGCGCGAGATTACGCGTGAGATCAACAGGATGCAACAGATGATTGGTATTAGTTTCTAGATGATCAGGTCAAGTGGAGTGGTGATGCGTTTATTGTCTAATCACTGACAGAGCTTAGTAAAACAAAGAAAAACAAAAGCAACCCTGGATTAAGTGCGATCCTCTATCTACAACAACATTTGCTGTGGTTATAACTGGAATTACAAGCTAAACTCAGCCATCTGTATCAACCTAACAAAAGAAGCCAAATAAAAGATTATTACCTTTCGTAAATCAATCGTTAATTCAATTTAACCTTTATCAAACATATCAGTGTCAAACAAATGACACCATTTGAACCTCATCAGCCGCAGTTGTAGATCTGGGGGAAGGGGAAGGGGAAGGGTCCGCGGGGGTCTGTAGCCGTTCCCTCCCCCCCTTGAGCTTGTTTATTACTTGGGTGACACCAAAATTCTTGCAAAAACAGGGTTGCACGTTAGATATGTTACTTCTCAAAATGAAGTATTCAAAATTAACTTGTCTTAAAGTAATTACTGGTTGTGTTTTCACCAATAAAGTTTGGATCCTCTCCGCCCTGAGCTAAACAGCTTATAAAATACCTAAAACACACACGACTTCTGACGCAAAACATCATTTCCTTCTCTACACAAAACGCAAACAAACATTTTTAGACAGAAATCAAACTTTCTACGGTTTTTCTGAAAATAAACTCATCACACAAGCACGTAGTTGGAAACTTTTGACACTCATAAACGGGGAACTCAATTGTGACTAATTTGTATGCAAGTAAATAAACAATTCCAAGACTAATCAAGGCGCGTATAGAATCTCTAAATTAATGTTTATTTTTTTCAACATGAAGAGAGACAGAGCTCTTTTATAATGCTTCTCACGGTACCCACAAAATGAGTTCGTGTCTTACCTTAGGAACCTAAACAGCTGTCCTTTGCACAATGCCAATCTCCATTATCACATTTGCTACAAAGAATAAGACGAGCCTTTAACTAACTAACCCTTTTTCACAATCGATAGGGAAGTAATGATGTTTCGATCGAAATTTTATCAACCAAAGCTTTCTTACCCATTCTTATTCATTTTAATAGAGAAGAACAAAATACAGAAAAACGCCGTCATTTCGGAGTATGCTTATTTTAATAAGGACGATCTCAGAGTTGGGAAATTTACACCAATCTAACTGGACAAGCAACTCTTACTATGATGTGATGATTACCGCATAGGGGGTTGTATAGAAATCCTGCGCTTTCGAGCAAACTGAACTTGCTACCGGAAGTAAAAAAAAAAAAGCCAGTCAAACACGACTATTAATGAGTTTGTACGCGATTAATAGTCGTACTTACCACGATTATTAATCGTGATAGAAGACGCTTTCAGACTATTAATCGCTAGAAATGCCATTTGCGATTAATAGTCTTACTTTAAGGACTTTTGAGCCAAATAATCGTAAAATTCGCACTCTGGAAATTAAAAAACACTCCGGAAATTAATAAACCCCTGTTTGAAGTTATTCAATTCTTCTCAGCATTTGATTAGTGAAGGTAAGCCAATTCAAACCGTGTTTATTTGTTCTTTCAGTTGTTTGTTTCTCAATTGGCGATTAATTGATATTTGATAGTACTTTTCATTACTTTGTAAATTCATCTTCACTCTCCCGGTATAACTCTTTGCAAAACTGAATAAATTATTGCTCAGCGTACGCTGAGATGTAGTACGGATCCCATCTTGAACAAAAGAAACAATCAGAAATTAAATCAGGTTAAGATTGGCAATTCTGTTTTGTTCCATCTCTTATATCATCACAACCTAACTTTCACACTCAGCTCAGTTAACATTTTGAAGCATTTACTTCGCCTTGGGCCACTAATGATTACATATTTCAAGCTGAGAGCTTTGGAAGAGTCTACTTTCACGAAGATATTATTAAGTTGGAAACTTCCCCTTAAACTGACATTCGACTGTCAATTTATCTCTGTATCATCTTTATAATCACAATGCAAGTTTCTGTTAAAGTAATATTTTTTGAGTAGCCTTCTCCGTCAGTGACATGGTATATTTTGGTCATGTGAAACGTACCACGTACCAAGTACCACGTACCAAGTACCACGTACCAAGTACCACGTACCAAGTACCACGTACCAAGTACCACGTACCAAGTACCACGTACCAAGTACCACGTACCAAGTACCACGTACCAAGTACCACGTACCAAGTACCACGTACCAAGTACCACGTACCAAGTACCACGTACCAAGTCTCCAGTATGAAAACTCCAAACACAATAATTCTAAAATTGTTTTAAAAAGTTTTTCCACTTTAGGGTGGGCCCCTGTTACAGTTGGGATGGCCTAAGTCTTAGAAACTCGGCTCTTCTTCTATTACAACCAAAACTTACCACAATGTGCACTGATCCCGAAGCAGTTTCAAATCCCCATGCAAAAACTTCTGACCATCATACACACAGCCTGTTAAAACGAAAACTTCATTTAGTAGCTGTGAGAAAGTATTTTTGACAACTATGATTACAATTATTGTATTTAGTTTCTCTGATCCCTTACTCAATAAAGACTTAGTTACTGACTGCTGACGGCATTGAACATATTAATATATGTATTAGTAATGGTACTAAGGACTGAGTGGAGTACAATTCGGGGAGATATGGGGCGAGTGACTTTGTCAATAACAAAATGCAAAGAACTCAGCAATGAAAAATTTAATGTGAGAGCACATACGCTTAACATTGATTCACTTTTGTTTTCAATGTGGACCTCTCAACCTTATCACTCAAGAGATTTTCCTCACTTTGATTAACACATTGGCTAGGTAGTCCAGTATTAATGGTTGATTACCGAAAGTGTTTTATATCTATACGCTGACTAACGGTCCCATTTGGCTTGTCCAATTACAAGTGTTTGAAATAAGACAGGTGAAATTGGACAGTTTGGACTTTAAATAGCATATCAAGCCACAAATAGTTGTTTAGATACAATCATGTCCGAGTATTTCATCAATGATCCAATTATTTGCGGAACCCAAGCGCTCATTACTCATATGGCAACTTTGCTGTAAATTGGCAGGTTTCTTAAAAAATTGCTGCACACTAAGTGAAAGGAGTGTAATCAATAAGCTGGTCCTTAATTCGATAAAAATGTTCCACTTACTAATCGCCAAACACGCTTAGTAAAAAATTACAACAAATTAAACGAGTAATTAAAAATTTATTTGACAGGTCAATATCGAAAGTTACAAAAAATAAAACACGCCAAATACACAACACATACCCCCCTATCAGGTGCATCCAATGGGTTACTGGATCTTACGCTGATGCCGGATCTTTATCGCAATAAGATATCGAGCATTTTACCGGAATTGCGGCCAAAAGAAGAGAATGAGAATGAAGCGAACCCCGTGGGTGAAGCCATTCCCTAGGAAATTCAGAACTCGGATAGGACAGAGGAATGTGCGAAAACTCTACGAGACTGGAAAGTTAGTTCAACCGGCGACGGAAATGAGACGTTTATAAACTGGAGATTTTGGGAGTCCAAGAGGATAATTGTTGATACACGTAAGGGTTCTCTTGAAAGTATGAAAAGAACACGGAAGGAGTGGTTGTCTAACGAAATGTATACAGAATTCTTAAAGTTGGTTTGAGAGAACAAAGAGATTCCAACCGACTTGAAGAGAGGTCTTCTAGTAAACGTGACAAAGAAAGGCGACCTCAGCTTGTGTGGCAGCTGGGGGAAACAATGCTATTCTCAATAACCAGCAGAGTCCTAAATCGAGTCACATTAAACCGAACGACAATGGCCGTTGACAAAGTAACAAGAGATGAGCAAGGGGGATTCAGAAAAGATATCTCGTGTTTCTTTTTCTATAGACGTACAAGATGGGCCGCCAGTTCCCACCGAAGGCGCACGCAGAGTCGCTAAACTTGCATCCATGAGATTTCTAAGGGAACGGATCAGACTAACGTAGAGAGCCAAAGGAGATGCTATGAAGGAAGCAGAATCCACAGCGCACAGAATAACATCCACTCTCACGACAGACAACACCAACAGGATACCAGAACAAGTCAAGACCAACACCCAACGAGTCTTTAACACCACCAAAGACAGACAAAAGTATAAGTTTGAAAAACTTTTGCGCGAGAAACAGGCGGCGGTCTCTCCAAGCGATACGCCGTATGTTGACAAAACTAATTGGGTCCTTCAACAGCTAAGTTACCAGAGCCTAACATCACGAAGGAATTGGGAGACGCGCTCAAAGACTTCAAAGAGGACGATTCCATCATGGTTCTCCCAGAGGACGAAGGGCGCGCTAGCGTCGTCATGAATACCAACACCTACCACGCTAAGATGTCTAACCTCATCGAGAACGGATCGTACCAGCTCCTACAAAAAGACCCGACAGACCGTCTTACCAGGAAGTTGTCCGAGAAGCGGCTAGCCTTGAAGCAAAGTGGACATCTATCAGAGGCCGTTTACAGCAAGATCAGACCTCAGACACAAACAGCCACTTAAAATCAACGGCTTACCAAAGATCCACACGGCCGACGTACCGTTAAGACCTATTGTGTCAAGTGGACACCTATCTGAGGCCGTTTACAACAAGATCAGACCTCAAACGCAAAAAGCCGCCTAGAATCTTCAACTTACCGAAGATCCACAAGGCCGACGTACCGTTAAGACCTATTATGTCATGCGTTAACTCCTTCGCATATGACATGTCCGCCTACCTAGCTAACATCTTGTCACCTTTAACAGGTAACTCGGATTTCACGGTGACTAATTCAGCTCACTTCGCGTCAAACATCAGCAGTGAGACGATCGTAGACGACTAGATCATGGTGTCTTTCGACGTAGAGTCCTTGTTTACCAACGTTCCTATCGACGACGTTGTACAAGCCACGCTGCAGAAACTGGAGAACGACCCCAGCCTCCCAGACCGCACGACGCTAACACCTGCTCAGATCGCCGACCTTCTGAATTTCGTTTCGAGATCCACATACTTCCAGTGTAATGGATCGATTTACGAACAAAAAGAAGGCACAGCCATGGAGAGCCCGGTTTCCGCTGTTATTGCTAACCTCTACTATTGGCAAAAAGTTACTGAACTTCATCAATACATTTTTACGGAAGATTCTGAATATCCATTTACCGAAGATAATTTCAAATAACGAACTATGGAAACAGGCACAACAAAGCCGTCTAGGCGAAAGCATTACTTTAATACAAGACAAAGGATGTGGATTGAACGTACGTTCTGGAAGCCTGAGAATAATATCATCCTTCAGACATAGTTTGATGCTACTCTGGTTTGCAGATTTAATGAATGTAACCGAAGAAGTTACAATTCAGAGACCCTAATAACTTCTTCGGTTACATTCATTAAATCTGCAAACCAGAGTAGCATCAAAATATGTCTGATTGTCCACCTGGTTGCCGTGTGAACTTTAATATATAATATCATCCTTATTGTCCTCGAATGGAGCCCTGGGGGTCTAGAGGAAGAGGTCGTTCAAAGCAGTCCTAAAGGTGCAATACTTAAGATCAGCTTGCTAAGAAGAACATCTCCTGGAGAGACGCAAAGACAACGGCCCAATGTAGAGTCCGGTGGCTCTATGCTTCACAGCAGGAGCGAAGAACGTGTAATCTAATATAATATAACGCACCCCTGGGAATAAAACTGAAGTTCTTAAATGCGGGTAATACTGTATTAAGCATGTGCAAAGGAACTTAATAAAAAATAATCTGTACCGCAGAATTCATATTTTTTCCTTCCTTGGAGATCTTTAGGTTTCTCCGTGAGAGCCAAATGTTTATCAACAATTCAAGTGTTACCCTTACCTTGCTGAATGGTGTCTGGACAGACTAGGCAACACCTTTGTTCAATTTTCAAAGGTGCCCTACAGAACACTGGAGGGCAGGTAGTCTGAGTGCATTCAGGTTTGCGATCACTTCCACAGTAACAAGAGGTGCACTCATCTCTTTGCCACATTTCAGCCTCTCGGTAGTATTTCTTGGTTACTGTGTCATAACACTTGCTGGTTGATTTCACAACTTACAAGATAGAACAATGTACAATTAAAACTTGATTGCTTTAAAGGTATTTAACTGAGAATTCAAGAGTACAAACTGATACACAACACAAGTTCGGGTTCTAATGTCTTCCGTTGACTTGCAATAAACACAGATGCATTCATTTTTACCACCAGTAAAAAAGTGACTTGACCATGCGACATTCAGGTCATAACTGCAAGGTTTCATTTTAAAAATTACCACTAGCAAGTATTGAAAAAAAAAAAGGATAATAAAAAAGTTCAAATACCAGTAATTAAATGTGTTAAATAAAGAGCAAGCTTTACCATTGTCATCCTTGCATTTTGGACAACACTGGCTGTTATCTCGGAGAAGATCTTTACATGGAGGATCTCTTTCACACATCTGCACAGCACATGCTGCCTTACCACTTTTGCCACAGTAGCATGTTGTACACTGATCTAACTGCCATGTCTGACCCATAAGGTAATATTGTCCAGAGCGGATGTCACGACACATACCTTGCCGTTTTCCATGATTGATGCTCACTTCAAAAGATACGAATTCAATTTTGCAATAAATCTGTTGGACACTTTCAACACACAATAATGTTAAAAGGAATCATAAATCTGCTATGAAAGGGATGAGACCTCCCACTTTCTCATCGTCAAAATCTGCAACCCGCAAACTAGTACCGTCTTTTACTTCGTTGTGGTACGTTGCACAACTGAGTATTACCCTCCAAGCACGACAAGCCTAAATACCTAATGAAACCAAGTTAAACCACAAACATTGTGCGCGTTTGGTTTGATAATGAAAACAATCGGTTGAACGTTATAGAAATTCCACAAATTTCTTTTGCAACTGTTTGTGATGTTCTAGTTGATCAACAACTGAGTGTGACAGTGGCTAAGCCAGGATCTCATATACTGGATGTTCAACTTTCAACTATCGTATTAATTGGCCAGGTACTGTAATTATCAACAACAATGGAGCATGCTATTCATTCCGACCATGCAAACAACGACAACACATGCAGAAAGAAAATTTACAAGAAACTTGGAACCAACCTAAGGGCAGACCTCATAGATAAGATAGCTCAGATACCAAAAGTTAGTGTGCATATCTTAAAAAGAGAAAGCTAATGCACCACCCAATATGAATACACCTGTATGAGTACTGGGTTTTAAATCCAACACTTTCAGCCTGCATAACAAACATTAAATGAGTAAGGAATAGAGGGAACAAGAAAAATCAAGGCGAATTACTATAAAATGCAGGCTTAAGCCAAGATAGAGGGTGCAGAAAGATTAATGACAAGTTTTTGGTTCACCATAAATTATCTGCATGGTTTATGGAGACAAAATTGGAACGTCTGTTACCGCCAAAAACATACCTAGGACAGTATCCAGTTTATTCTTTGCCAAAGCTTTGATAAGATCTAAACATCAGACAAGTGAGATAAGTAACAAGTAATTAACATCACATAGACTGCAAGTAGATAATTGTACAGCTAAACTTAGTGATGAAATGTTCGATATTTGCAAGTGTTTACCACGAACTCTTTAAGTTTCACGGAAATGTTAAATAATTATTTAGTAAGCAAAGTTTTTGCTCTCTTGTACCTCACCCAATACCTGTAAAAAATGACGTATTTCCAATTACTAAAAGTTAACGCGAAACTTCTTGTCATACCGTATCCAGTGTGTATCGCGTTTACGTGTTAATTATTTGTGTGTTAATGTTTCATTAGTTGTGTTAGGTACTTGTACTTTAGGTACTTAGGCGTGTGGATATTTCAAATAAAAGAATGTGCACCAATACGCACGAATTCAGTCACAATAAAATGAGCCAATTTTCATATCCAAGAATGGTGTCCTCTCGCTTTAAAAGTGGCCTCATTAAGGGAGAGATGTTGCTCAATGTCCAGTGATTACTTCACTTGTGAGCACAAATAATTGAATACCTTACATCACTCACATGCACACATTACACGAGTTTAAGTAAGATGTTGTAGTTAATCCATGTAAGGAAAATCGGTACAGTTATGAATGTACTCTCAAAAAAAATAAGTCGAGAGTTTTTTGGTGTTCCTTGCATTACCTGCATCCGTATGTCCTGAAGTGGTAGAGTCCGTCAAGGGGCATACAGGACAGCATTGTCCTCTGATATAAAAAGGGTCTTTACAGTCTGGATGGCGGCATACTGTTGCAAGGCATTCTGACGTGCCGTTACGGCAAACACAGACAGTACAATCATTTGGTTCCCATGTTTCGTCCTCACCATACAACTTGTTACTGGGTGAATCATGACATTTAGCTAACCATCAAAACGAAAAACAAAAAGAGAAGGTGCAAGTTAAGTTATTTGCTTTATTGGCATTAACTTTGTGTGACAGTCGACTTGGGTTATTCCCGCACTGAGATTTTGGTTCATTTTCGACTATTACTAAATAAAATATTGTTTAAATAAAAAGCAGTTACTGTAGTTTCTCGGAATTAGTACCCTCCTTGCAGCCCGAGATTTTGAATGATATCACCTTGGCTATGTATTTCACTAACTCTTCCTGAATTCACATAAATAAGTGATATGTATCTCACTCCATGCTGGGAATTGATTAAATTCATTTATGAGATCGCAGAAATGAAAGCAAGTCAGTAAACCTGTTACCAAGGAAAACTATCAGCCTGCCCTAGTTTCTGAATCACATAGTTTCCTGTTATGCCCATTCCTGGACAGGATGCTATTCCATCACAGGTTACCCGCCAGCATTTTGTCAGCTCTTACTCACAGTTTGCTGTCATCAGTTTGCATTGCAGAGCCAGGTACCAAGGGTAGAGTGGGTACACAAGTGATCCACCCATAAAGCTGATACCTGGACTTTTTCATTCAGAGTGCACAGAGCTCATCGATCGTTAAGCCTCTCTATCTCCCTTCCTAACATTCATTTCCTTTGTAAATATCCAAGGGTAGACAGTTGGAAAATTGAATATTAGTCTGTATTGCAGCTAGTGCAAAGAAGGTTGAAGTGAATTTACTGTTGGTCGATGGCAAACAGCAATTACTATAAGCTATTAATTATGTTAAAATGACATTTAGATGCATTTGCCATTCACGGTACCATATTTTCTATATATCCTAGCTGGATATTGTATTTAACAAGAAAACAAACTATTATGAGAAAGTTTCGCGTGGCAGTTTAATAAGTACTAGATTGGTATACCTTTACCAACTTGAGGCCTTTTTGTTGGAAGTGTTGTATGCCTCTCCTTTTGCTTTGAATTTACTTCTGTTGATGTTAAAAGTATTTTAATCAAGCCCAGTTCAATGGTATAACTTTTCATGAAACATACTCAAATACCTGTGTCACCATAAATGTTCAAGTCTAAGAGTTGACTCAAATGTGGAATTACATTGATCAAATTTATTCTTTCTCCAAAGAAAGGAACTGTTGGATTTTAAAAAAATTACATTTGCAATTGAATATAGCTTAAGGTCTCAGAAAAATAAAATCACGAAAAATTTAAAATTACCAGTTGATTATATTTTTAAAAATATTTCCCCCCTTTTGTTAACATGCAAAATGTTGAACATAACGAGAGCATTTCCTTAAAAATTTGGCAAAAAAACCTAATGATAACAACTATACTTGACAACTCTATCTTTCTTCCCTATCAAGGGGAATCCTTGAATAATTAAAGACCCTTTGGTTGAGTCGCAACCCACACATCAGATCTGAACCATATTAAATTTTTTGTTTTTATTTTGGTTTAGCTTTTCAGACTTTTTGAAGTCCTTGGCAATAATGCTACGGAGGTAGCTAATGCATGACTAAGGAACACTTCATAAAAGATGGATTTAGGTGTGATCAGCATTACAAAGGAATAACTTAAAACTTGAGATACCATAACGTTTCTGCTGCAGGTACATGGCAATTTCAGTTGCTTAGGCAATTAATTATTTTGAATTAAAAAATTAGCCCACTCTTAATTGACTTGTTACCTTTAAAGAAGCCCATGCAATGCATTCCAAGATTTTTCTGCTTCTAATTAGCTTAGGGTGACAAGAAAACTCAGACCCCCAAAAATCACACTTGTAAGTGTCACCAAAACCCAGACCCTTTGGTGTCTTGAAGACTCAGACCCCCAAAAAACTCTGACCACTTGGTGTCTTGAAAATTCAGACCCCCAAAAATTCAGCCTTCAAGCAAAACTCAGACTCCTTACTCTGATTTATTAAAATTTACTGAGCGCAGAGATCAAAGTCACAAATTATATTTCAGTCCTTAGTTGCATCTTTAAAGTGACAGTTGGCTTAATTATAAATGTCTTTTTTGTCGCTAAGAAATTGTGTATTAAGAAGTAATCGAACAAATATGCAGTTTAAGATGCAAATATTGACAGTGCTATAATTCACGATTTAAATCGCCGAGTGCCCTAAATTTTGAAACTGAGCAGATAAGTTTTCACTGGGGGGTTTGAGTTTCATAACACCCTCTTAGCTTACCTTCATTTTACATTGCTTAACAGGTTAGTTTTTATGTTACGTTATAATCATTATGGTTATCATTATTGTAACTGATTTATTTATCATCGTTATCATCACCATTACCACTTTGTCAGTGATATTAACTTACCTGCTTGGAATCTTTGTTTAACAGTACAGTAAATGGATCTTGTCTTTAGGAAAATTTTTTTGTCTTCCATTACTTCTCAATTATATGACTTGGTTGGCATTTCAGTACCCTCATTAAACCGTGTTATTTTCATTAGTAATCACTAAATGTTCATGAAATCATAATAGATAAGAACAGGTCTTCTGTTACACAGTCATCTTGAATCACTCAGGTTTACCATGTTCCAATTTACTCACGTTTTAATAAAATTATCGTAAATTCATTTTGGTTCAATCGTAAATGCTACAATGCTGATCCAGATCTCATGTCTTTCAGTCTGAATCAAGATACAACCACGATAAATGAAAAGTAAAGAGAGAAAAACAGAAGCCTTGTCTGATGCAAATACAAAGTTTCTAAGTAGAAATCTCGTTGTTGGCGAATTGCATCAAAGGGAAGACTAAAACTTGAAAGCAGGTTATCAGTGGTTGCCTCAACAACAGAAATCTCCAAAAACCCAAGAACTTCAAAGCAAAGACCTTCACAGAAAAATTAACATTTTATTTGAAGATTGATAATGTAATCACTTTGAACCACATTGTAGAGATAATCTGAAAACATGTTGCCTGCTCAAAACCACCTCAAACCAAGTCAAATGTCAAACTTATAATTTACCATTTAGTCATCATTGCACTAGTGCTTGAGATTGGTGTACTCAGCAGCAAAATAAGCAAATTTTTTAGTATCTGGGTGTTCTACAAGAATGAAATACACAACCCCTTCTTTCATGTAGAAAAAGTAGTATCACAGCAAGTGATTAAGTCTTCACTGAAGATCATTTACACTAACAATTTTGTCTTTGTTCATACTTGAAACAATTCTACAGTTGTTTATGTGATTGTCTTATATTCCTGTCATATCACCAGGTTTTGAATTTGTTATTTCAAGTTTCAGCTAATTACATATTAGAAAAGCTCTTTGGTAGGCATCTCTTTTCCAACAAGTGTCTTAAGAATACAATAGTAACTCATTTCAACTTACAACATCCATCCCACAAATGTCAATACTTAAATAGGAAATATCAATATTCTGGTGGTGATGATTTTAAATCTCTGATCATTCCTAATGCCATGTACAATAGGGCTTACCAAATATTTCTAACTTAAAAAGGGATGAGATTATCATGTCTTTGCATTCATTCTTCACAGTAATGCTTGCAGACTTGTATCCAAAGAAAAGCTAAGGGTCACAAAAGGATTATTCATTTATAACATATATGTAGAACCTTGCATGGAAACAACAATAATTGCTGAATATCTATTTTGACATATATTTATTTGAGTATTTTCATTAAGTATTATTGTAGTGCTTACTTTAAGCTACTGGTACTTGTATTTTGACACTAGCAAAAGTTTAATACCACAGTCTATCTGGTACCTTTTTCAATATCAACCTTGCATGAAAACTCATTAGCTTGACTGTCACAAACTTATAAGCTGTATTTTCTGTAAGGTGAAAGAGCTATTTCAAGAAAAAGGTAGTGCAGGAGGTTTTTGTTCTCACCTGTGACAACTGGGGCAGAGGTAGAGGATGGCAAGCTATAAACTGAAGTTGAAGACAGTGAAGAAACTGTTGGGGCAAGAAAAAAATACTCTTAGTTTCTTCAGAAATGTTTGAATCCATGACAACTAAAGCAGCTTGTAAGTTTGTGATAGTTACAGTTTGACTAAACTGTAATAAAATTGCATTTATTTTACAAAATAATTGAAAATAGCCTTATCTGATACATGCTTTTTCATTAGCACACTAATTAACCTAATTAACCTAATTAGATAACAGTTTAATAGGAACAAGGATATTGTATATACTGGTTGACAAAGATTACCTTGATAAAATGTTGCACCAGTCTCTACATGGGAATAATAAAATCTCCTATGAAATTGTAATAAGGCTGATATTTCACAATGGTGAAAAGTTACAAATTCTAGTAACATAATTGTTGAATACAGTACAAGATATAATCTCATTCATTGTTCAGGATCTCAGAAGAGCACACCTCTTTGCTATTGATGTAAGAGTTTCTCTTTGTCTAAAAAAGCCAAGTATTCTTGCTGATTTGCAATCTTTGGGATTTTTACCATTCATCAATTATGATTCATTAAGAGAGATAAATTGTGCAAAATTGTCTGCCATGGAAATGGTGGGGTTACTGTAAAATTGACTTGCTACCAGCATTTAACCCTATATTGTAACGCTGGGCATACATTCTATGATTTGAGTACCAATCATATGCTTTTCTACATGTTAGTATGATATTTTTTCCTCTCCTCTACAGGAATTTAAGAGTCTATTGTGTCTTGTTACACTTCCACTCTGTTCACTTTAAGTAAATCTGTGGGTGTAATATGGGTGAAAAAGCAGTTTGGAAGGAATTAAGAATTTCCTTTTCATTAACAAATGCAAACATGTTGGTGTCATAGTTAAGCTCAGCAGTAAAGTAAAACCATAACACACTTTGGTCAGTAAGTTGGCCAATGATGACATTAAAGCATATAGTATTTATTATTCATGCATGGCATGCATCCTGCCTAAGATTTACCAAAGTACATATTTCAAACTGTTATTTCCAAACTACTACAGCAGACTCATCTGCTGACTCAGATGTATTTACAATAAAGCAATCTTGCAGTTGGCCCCAGAGTATAGCTTGGGACCTTTCGGTGATAAATGTCTTTTAATCAGCACAGTGTACCAGGCATATGTATTTTTTTTATATAAAGCAGACTTGAATAAGAGTCAATTAGCATCATCGTGCTAGTTACTTAAATCCAAAATCAATGTCTTTATATATTAACTCCAAATATATTCTAAGTGAGTCCAAATAGTTTCTATAAGTTACAACAGTCTGAAAATCCTTTCTTGCTAGGAAGTAGCAAGTTAATAGCAGATGCCATTTCATATACAAGGTATCAAGAGGTCTTCAAGGGCATGAGGTTGATATGATCTGCTTCAGCCTTTCAACACAATGTGTTCTTCATATCTCCTATGACTGAGGGAACATCCACTTTAGATGCATCAACAACTAGCCAAGGTTTAACTTCCTGGGGTTTGTAGAACGTCTTTTAAGTGCTCCATACCAAATTGCAACCCTAGCACGGGTTTTCTCTCTTTTCCTCATGCAGTATTTCTTGCAGTCTACCTTCCTGTAAAAATTGTTCATGTTGCCTTTACAGCCACCATATGTGAATTTCAAGCATTTCTTGCTATTTGAGTTAAAATACCAGCGGGGAAAGGAAGCACGACACGGCCCTGCAACTTGAGGCAAGTAACACACTTCCTTCCACATTTGAATAGGTCGTTCTGCATAAATGGAAAAGCAAATTTTTACTAAACCATCAACTATTGCCATGTATACCCATCTGTGCCAGTGGGAAATAGAGATACCATCCTCAATATCTGAATTACTTTGTACACATCAACACTAGCTGCAGAAATCTTATTGGTACACTACAGAACAGTCATACTGGAATTAGGGAAGACAGTTTCTGGGCTCCTTTGAGGATAATTAAGGTAATGTTTCCTATTACCCATGGTGATGATAAGTTTTAAAGAAGTATTGTTGATACCAAGAGACCCATCACGAAGAATATGGAGCAGTGATAACATACACACCACAACAAATTGATACATTATTAAAACATATGTTAAATAGACTTGGTTGTTGGTTATAATAAGCCTAAACTGGTTATCAACATTTGCAGGTTGCACTTGTAGTAAGAGAACAGATCAATTCACAACAGTTATGTATGGAAATCACCGTCAATGATCAAGATGAGATCTCCAATGCCTGGTTAACTTGTTGCTCTATATCCAAACAAAAAAACCATTATGCTGCTTAGTCTGAAGTCCATACACAGCTTGCTAAGGCCATGGCAGATGAAAAGGGTGGGGTCTGTTCAGTGCACACCACTCTTCACTCAAAAAATCCATCACACAGGTTCCAAGGATATGTCCAAAACCTGGTTGGCTTGCCACAGTCAACAGATATCTTCTGAAGCAGTCAATCATTGTTGGAAAGGGAGAGGTATGCACCCACCTGTTGTTGTGCAAAAGGTCTGAAACTTGTGTGCTGGAACATCATGCTTGATGCAGCTGACAGCATTAATACTCTCAGCCAAGTCAGCTTCCCAGGGATAAGCAGCTCCAAGAGCTCAGGGCTGAATACACCTTACATTTGTCTTGCAAATCAGTGAAAGAGAGACACAAGGGGTGGGCTTTATGGTCAGAACCTCCATTGCTTCAAGCTTGAAATTATGCCAATAGGTCACTCTGACCATACCATTTTCATGTGCACTCCACTGAAAGACCAGGTAACATTCAACTGCAATCTGTGCAGTCTCATTTCACTGCAAATGACAAAATCATAATCTTTGGTGACTTCAATGCCCAGATTTAGAAATGTGGAAAGAAGTACTTGGTAAACACACAATGACAATGGGTGGTTGCTGTTGTGGAACAACAACTCATTATTACTGCCTCCATCTTCCAACAAAAAAACCTGAAAATATTCTGCTGCATCCTCACTCCAAACATTAGAACCCCATAGATTACATCCTACTGCAACAGTGTGACTTGAGAAATGTCCTTTACACCAGAGTGATGCCCAGGGAAGAACCTCATACCTTCTGTGGACTTGATCACTGCAAACTGAAGCTTCACCTCAAACCTAGACCTAAACAAGAGGGGTCCCAAAGAGAAAGTTCAAAGTTGGCAGCTTTAAGTCACCTTAAGGGGAAGCTGACTTCCAGGCAGGCCTACAGTTGAGGTCACTGATTCATCTGCTGAAACACTTTGGGTTTACTGACATTAAAGTTCTGCAGACTTCTAAAAAAGTCTTTGGGTTCTCAACAGAGAAGAACAAAAGATGAAACCAATGAGAAAATTCAACAACTACTAGCAATAAAGAGATCTGTTCACCAGGCTCACTTAGCACAGACATCACCCTGTGAAGAAAGCCACCTTCTGTCTTGTATGCAGCAACCTCCAGCACAAACTAAGTGACATCGAGAGGATGTGGTATCATGCCTTATAAAAGAAAACTCAGATTTGTAGAGACACCAGAAATATCAGAGGTATCTACAAAGTCCTGAGGGTGATTTATGGCCCCTCAATCCAAGCTCAGAGTCCTTTATGTTGTAAAAATGGGCAGGACATTTCCACAAATCTACAGCTCTCAATATCCCTCAACAACCAGTAATAACTGAATTGGATGAACTTCCTTCCATTGAAGAGACCATCAAAGCTATACTGCAGCAGAAGAGTAACAAGAAAAAACTGGAAACAAAGGGTTCAGCGTTAGTTACAAAACTTCACCAGCTATTTGTTTGTTGTTGAAAGCAAGAGCTCCTCTCTATTTCAAGTAAAATCTTTGCAAGGATACTTATGAACAGACAGCTACCTACTATCACTTAAAACCACCTCCCATATGGCCAATATGGTGTCTGAGCCAATAGAAGCAAATATGGTGTTTGTTCTCAGTTACACCACATGGTCATGCACTTGCACAAAGATCAAAGAGGCCAAGTCAGACTCCACAGTAACCTCTCCAAGCTCTCCTCAGTTATCCATAGGGTGAAGCAGGGTTGTGTCCTGACTCTGAATCTGCTAACAATCTTCTTTAACATGATACTCAAGCAGGCTACTGTATCTCTGGATGACGAGGATGGAGGTGATGCCAGAGACCATCTCATGGCTACTTGTTCAACACAGATCCACACAAAGACCCTTGAGTAATTGATCTGTTATCTCCTCTTTGCTGACAATGCAGCTCTTGTTGCCCATTCTCATTGCCACAGGAAGAGTAGTGCCTTCCTTACATCACTGGTAAGAAGACTTTTGACTTACCTGGGTGTGCCATTGCACCTGGTGCCAACATTGAGAGGAAATTGACTGCAGACTGGCACAGGTGAACTGTGCCTTTGGCAGACTGTTCAAATGTGTGTGGAACAAAAAAAATTCCTGAAAAAGAGCACCAAGATCAAAGTGTACAGTGCTGTTGTCCTCACTGCCCATCTGTACAGCTTGGAGTTGTGGGTTACCACCATCACCATCCATGACTCCTCAAGTGCTTCCACCAGTGCTGTCTCACTTCCATCCTTAATATCCAATGGAGTGACTTCATCACCAACACTGAATTCATGCAACATGGGGATGTAACAAGAGTTGAGGCTTTACTGCTGAAGTCACAGTTACAGAAGGCAAAGTGCATCTCCAGGATGGAGAATGGCACTGAAGAAATGTTACAAGGAAAAGTTACTGTTTAAAGAAACCTCTTGGCACCTGTGAAATAGACCTTTTCCAATGGTCCACCTTAGCTGTAGTCCGCTATGCCAGATGTTACACCATTAACCGTGCAGCCTCTTCCTTCAAAGACTCCTGCAGGACCTTCTTCTATGATAAAAGACAGGAGGAAGAATAGACACACTGTGACATCAAACCTTAGCCTGACTTTTGTCTACAGTCACTGCAACCAAACCTGCCTGTCTGGTATCAGCCTGTTTATCACCACATGTGTGCCTGCAGTCCACATGTACCACCTTCCTAATCTTAGTTCATGACACAATGTCTCATATACCTTCATGTGTGAAAACAAAATGTAACCCTTAATGTAAAAACATTGTTTTTCATTAATGTTTATACAATAAACTCTATCCTTCACAAATGGTCTGAAATTATGTTAAATTATGTTTATGAAACATCTCTTCACTAGTAAGATTACTATTTCAACCAATCAACTTCTCTTAATTTTCCACAAACGTAAAAGTTGTAAAAGCTGCCCCTTACGCTTTGGAAAACAATCATATAGTGATATAAGGCCAATTAAAGTCAGAGATGCAAATCAATCTTTCCTTCAAAATACAGTAATAGCCACAATATGTTGCAGAACGAACTTATAAGAAAAAAGCTTGTGCCAACCTGTTGTATGATGAATATCAACTTTTTGAGAAGGCTTCTGGTTGATTTCTTGTGCAGAGCCTATGAAGAATAGATGCATCTAGTGAACAATAAATCCAATGAAATGGAATATAACTAAAATGATCAAAAAAGAAGGCAGTATCTGTCAGTTAGCCATTCATTTATGATATAACACCACAGGTTTGAGCAAGGCATGCAGTAATAGTTTTCCACCTTTCATCACATAAAAGCCAATGGCACTTAACCTCTTAAAAGTAATCTTAACATAAAGACCTCTTTACCAAAGCCAATAGGATTCTATTGTAGATCTAACCAGTTTTGCCATATTGCAATGTTTTCAGAAAAACTTATTGAAATATTGAAAACTGCAATCACCACATGGCATCCACCTGTTTAAATCTCGGGCATAAGTGAAAAATTGCACAAACTGTTTGAGACCTCCTATGACTGATTCATTGGTTTATGCAGCATTTCTCTTCTACAAATTATATGAGTAACTTGATCTTCCCTCTTCCTTGCAATCTAAAAGCAATTATGAGCCATCATATTTTTGCTCCCTCGATATTGGTGTAAATGCACCACAGAACTGAATATTCCCCAGCTAAACTGGGGGGAAAACAAGGATATCACTCAAGTGATAATCCCCAATCTTAAAAACTTACAGGCTACTTTAATAATTCTTCACTCAAAATAAGGGAACATTTCGTGGTTGGTAGAGAATGGAAACATTTTTTGTTGATAAAGTTGTACCAGAAAATACTCCAAAGAAAACATCCCAGCAATCAGTAAGCTGCTCATAAACATTTTTTACATGGGTTGCAAAATATTTGTACAATAACAAACAAAGTAGCCTCTATTTTGTGCAGAGATATGCTTGTGTATTTGTCCTTGGATATGATTGTATTTATTGTTATTCTATTATTCTATGCTTATTCTATTCTATTCTATTATTTAAACAAAACAAAACCACGCAAGATTCTATTCTATGCTTATTCTATTCTATTCTATTATTTAAACAAAACCACGCGAGATGGAACGAAGGGACAGGAATAAATGCAGATTTACTTTCTAATAAGGTAAAGATAACTTTCACAATGATTTTTGACTAATCGTCAATTGATGAGGATTTTTAATCATTTCACAAAGTAGTACTTTCAGAAGAGTTACTATTTTGCAGTGACGTGACCTCTTTCATGTCACAAAAAAAACATTTATATGTTTCAAATTAGTATTACACCAAAGAATTCGGCCTCCTCTTATTTCTCACATGAATTAAAATAGTAACTCTTCTTAAAATTACTATTTTGTAAAATGAATAAAAACCCTTCTTGCTAATTAACAATTACTCCAAAATTCTTGAGAAAGATATCTTACCTTTTCACAAAATACATCTGCATTATTTCTTTAGTTTTTTTATATCTCACCTGGTTTTGTTTCGTTTCGATTCATTTATGAAAATAGTATAAGCCTAAAGATGGACATAGCCTTTTCAGAATTAAGTAAAAACAAGAACAACACCTGTTCTTGGTGAAGGCATCTCTAAGACAAAAAACTTACTTCTGTTTTGTTGCATACAAAAAACCTTGCAGGCAGATTTAGTGTAAAAGTTGTTGGCATTTCCCTCACATCCACCATACAAAAATGTAATGCACTTTCTCCTTTCCTTATTGTAATACCAACGCTGAAATGCAGCCCTGCATGGACCTTCACTGTGAGGTAATAAACACTGTGCTGGTATGTTGCCTACAACATAATTTTAAAAACATCTTTATCTAAAAATATACCACTGTTGAAAAAATAACTCAACCACTGCGTCAACATGTACAATGCATTACAATAAAATACACCTAATTTAGCATAGTCATATACTCTTAACTTAAAAACAAATTCACATTTCAAATAGGTCGCTGATTGGAGGAAAACATATCATGTGCCATGCATAAAAACTCTCTATCAGACCCTTATGCAAGCAAAAATCACCAACTCAAAAAGGTGTATTCACCAGAAGTTTAAACATATGATACTTGGATTTTGTTTTAAACAATTGGGATTAGTAAAAATTTTGCAACTAAGCGTTATGGTGACTTCATACTTACATAAATTGTTTTATCTTTTTGAGTTGGAAGGTGTAAAAAACACAAAGAGATTGGCACCATGGGAAACAGTGAGTTTTGTTTCTCTTGGGGCCAATAATTAAGTGCATATTGATACCTGTAGCTATGGTTCAGCAGCAGTTTACATAGCCAAAGTATCAGATAATCTGAAACAGTTTGTTAAATTCCATCAAGAAAAAAAGCATGTGACCTTGAAATGTCAAGGTTAATTGTTTTACAATATAGTAGAAAATGATGAACCAAATAAGTCTTTCAAGAGTGAAAGTCATTCACCTTACAAAGATGAGTTAAACAAAATATCTCTGTGAGTGCTTCCAATAGCACTTGACAGCATATTTATGGATTGAACACACTCCTCTGGTGTCATTTTTTCGATTTCTTCTTCAACGCCGAAGTAGTCCATTTGACTTCCTTTGCTCACTGAAGAGTGAACCAACGGTCTTTAATCATTTCTTGTTCGAAATAACTTAGAAAACAATGCAGTAACTTAGAAATTTCACAAAGGCTTTGTTGCATATTTCAGTAATAATAACAGCACAACAACAATTTGAGAAAAGCAGCATTCGGTAGTAAACCCTTCCAGAGATGCGCACTGAACAGTTTTACTGTAAGTTGTACCGTTGTACATCAGAAATGGGCAAATTGCACCATTGTTCTGGCCATTTTTTGGTGAGATGGTATTCATACTGTAGGACCTACTTTTTCAGTTAGGTTTGACTTCAACAGCTACAGTAAAGCTGTCATTTGACACCAAAGAAAGTGCTGAATATAACTAACAGCTAAAACATGTAGGTATAATGTTTTTTCGGAAAATTTTCATGATTTGGTTGAGATTTTAGTTTCTACTGGCTTCTTATGCATAAAGTACTAGGTATTTTGAGCATAAACAGAAGCATACTCTGCTATTGTTGTTCACATTCCACAAAATATGTTTATTTTGTGATTTCATGTAGCCTTGACAAAATCATGAAGGACTGCTAAACTGTTTAACTTTGCTCTTGTTTTGTGACCTTCATGCCAGCATGGAAATTGTATAATAAGCCACAGTTAAAATATTTTTTTAATGTAGCTACAAGGTTGCAGCTTTGAGTTTACAACCTACAGATTTTCTTTTGACATGGCTCATGAAATAGTAGTTTGGATGATGAATGACCCCTGAAACAAAGGTACGTTAAAAAATTCACTATTGAAGAAGTTGCGGTCATTGATGTCAACAGTACCACACAAAGGCTGGTGTAAGACAATGTTAGTATGCACAATGACTGGCAAACAAAACAAAAAATATATATTTTCATTAATGTGAAATATACATGCATCGCTCATCACCTTTTGGATAAGAAAACGACATATATATTTGATTTAAATATTTTCAAATTGCAATGTTATTGAAAACAGGTGTATATATCATTAATATATTTTTTCCCATGAAAAAGGTGTTGACAGAATAAATTAAAGGGACAAAAGAAAAGTACATTAGCTAGTGTCAAAATTTCCAAAGTCTTTGTTTCACTTTTGCACAATAACAGGTTGGAAATTAAAAATAAGACACTTTTGTCCCATCATCTTTCCGGTACCATTTCTTTGTACATTCTGGAACACAACAATGAGCCGCCATTTCCTCTTCTTGTAAATAATTCAACTGAATCGAGTCAAAACAGATCACCTATTCAACTTTAATTGACCTTTTGTTTACAGTGCTGTCTTCAAGTGTGGCCTTTCTGACCTCGGTTTCATGTTTAAGTAATTAACAGTCTCACGCGCCGCAGCCATTATGAAAGTCATGATGATAGTAAGATTCAAATTTCCACAATGAGCACCCAACAGTAAATCTGGGTTAATCAATTTTCTGAGGAAGCAATACCTTAGTGCCTTAATTTAAATCAGTTGGACTTGTTCAGTGTGTTGGGTAACAGAGGTTACTAAAATTCTCAAGACATCCATATCAAAATGAATCAGTATATCTGGACTATTTCACCTAATTTTGAGGAAAAACCCTCACTGTAAGGAATATTGAGTGTATGTCATTTGGGCATACTACACAAAAAAGGTACAAATTCAGTGCCATGATAGTTTCTAGTACAATTAATGGCTCTGAGACACTTTAACATTACTTCGGCTGATAGTTTAAGAGAATCTACACTGACAGAGGTATTGCATGGTCAAATTCACTCTGCATCAATTCTTAGAAGGTGTCACTAATAGTACCCTAAAAATAATTGCTAAGAACCTGTAGGAATGTACCTTGTAGCTGTAAAGTAGGTGGTGGCACTGTTGTTTTTGCAGGAGCACTTCCCTCACCAATATCTAAAAATCAATATAAGAATGGGAACCTTTAATAGCAGCAGGAAAACCATGTAAAATGCTCGAGTACCAGTTGTCTTCTTTGTAGGAACAAGGACACACTCTCCAGTATGGCACCATATAAATTCAGTAATGATAAGTGTAAAACACCAACAAAGCCTGCCATGTTACCCCAAAGCAAGTCAGCCTCAAAACTGGTCAACTCACCACCCCACCCCTCCCCACCCAAGAGTACAGTCACATCACTCCCCAAAGTCAATGAGCGTTGTTCATCCTGGCTTCACCTATCAACCTCAAATATCAGAATACTTTTAAATTCCACAGTTTTCTTATCAAAACAAAAAAGACCTTGTGTAACATCAAACAGCAATAATTTATCTTTGAGAGTGAAAAATTTTCCATGATAATAACAATAAGAAACAACCTGCTCCACCTCCAAGTGATAAAATATCTACACCCTTGCGAAAAAGATTTTGGAATTCCTAGGAATTTCTAGGAATAAAGGTGTGAATTTTCAGGGTAAATTTGGACTGGGAATTCCTAGGAATTCCTAGGAATTCCCAACCATAACAACTCTGGCTCTAAAAACCTAGAAGTTCCCAGAAATTCCTAGAAATTCCCAGAAATTCCCAGAAATTCCCAAAAAATTCCAAGATTATAGCCAACAGGACTTGGAATTCCTAGGAATTCCTAGGAATTCCAATTCAGAGAACCAATGACTTTCCCTGAAAAGCTGTAAATCTAAAAAATTCCTATGAATTTCTGGGAATTTTCAGGAATTTTTAGGAATTTTTAGGAATTTTTAGGAATGTTTAAGAATTACTGGAAATTTTAAGCAAAAATTTGAGGCTAATGATATAAAATAAATGCTTTAAATTAAAAAAACCAGACTAAAATTCAGGTATTCAATGAAATTTAATTACAAGCTTAATTAAGGCTTACATGTAAAACATTTTTTATTAATTATTAACATCAACATGTGGTAATATTAGGATGGAATTCGATTTATTTTTCTTTCCTTGAAAACTTCATAAGGATTAATCTTCAATTACAGCTTTTCATATAAAATAGTCCCAATCAATTATTAAATTTGGTTTGACACAAATTGTGAATAAAATCTGTTGATTCTTTTCCATAAAATACAATATCTTAAATTATATTTAAAAACCAAGCACTCTTGGGAGGGAAGGGGTCAATTACAGATAAATAAAATTAATTTTTTAATTAAAATCTTGTTGTAACTGTAACAATAAATTAGAATGAAGTTATCCTAAACTGCAAACTTAGCTGCTGTTTGTATTTTTTCCCTGGGCTCACAATGAGTTGGCCTTGAATGAGGTTGTATACAAAAAGTTTGACCATTTTGTATCTGGATTCCATGACATCTGAATTTGAAAAAAAATAATATATGTAAATATATATATTTAAAGCCCAGACCAGGCCTTTAAAATGGCTATAAGGAAAAGGGCATTCATTGGGTTCTCAAATTGAGAAATCTCTGTTATATTGAGTGACTTTTATATTGGAGTTAGTACATCTCTCCCATAGATATTACTTTGTTTTTACCAAGGAGGGCTTCTTTATGTAATAAGGTTTGTTTAATAACAGTTCCTATTATGAGTCTTGAATGTTCCCAAACGTGACTAAAGGAATCTTGAAACCGTACTGATAGATTTATTTCATTGTAAAGCATAAGCTTAAGAAACTGCTGCATGCAAGTGACTGATTCGATTCTCAGAATTATTCTAGTTATTCTACATCTATTCTTTTATAAGATTTTGATCACGTAACGAATATCGCAATTTTTACTCACCACAAACTTTCAAAATTGTAGCTTTACAGATGGCCACTCGACCCTTGTTTGTACCAGTCGATATGTCAACTGTTGTCCCTTCTTTTAACTCCACGGTGCCAACGACTTTCTTTTATTTTACAACACTCACGCTGTTCTCGTTTTCCCATTGAACCACAATAAAAGCTATCTTTAGAAATGTTATATTAAGCAAAACAGTTGAGAAAAGAAATAACTTAATGCATGAGCAATCAACCGATGAAAAGTACATTCAAAGATGAGCGCCAAATGGAGTCTCCTTTGTTTCCGATCACGGGCATGATCACGTGGATCTTTTAAGACTTGTCATTGGCTAGCAAAGTGAATCCGCTGGCTTGCCGATTGCAGTGTTAAGAGAAGCGCACAACTTTATTCTGTCTTCTCTAACCAGTTCTCTCCTTCTAGACGATGGATACCTTGGTGACATAAATAATGATGTGAGCTCACTCTATGTAGAAATAATCAATAAGAATTGATTGTACTACAAATGCATGATTTGTGGCCGAAAGTTGTCGAGGAAACAAAGACTCGAAACTCACTGGAGTTGTGTTCATGGCAAAGGTGAGGAATAACACAAGCCAATCACAGTTTTGAATGCGACTACAAATCGTCTTTTACCCTCATATTTATAAAAGAAGGATACCACATTAGGAAGTATAAGAGATACATAGACGACCCCAGTGTACCAGTAACTAAATCTACAAAGCTTGACCATAGCAAGCATTCAGCAACATGTTCAAACACCACCATCTTGATTCCTCAGTCAGTTGTTTCCACTGAACTTAAAGCAGTGGTGACAACAGAGTAGAGTGTGTCTTACAAAGGAGAAACATTTGTACAAGAGACAGAAGTAACTATATGCGATTACAGAGGTGCATTGGAACTCTGGTCCACAAATAGTTATGCACTGTCCGAAGTATAAAACAATTTTGTTGATAGCTGACAGACAGAGAAGAACAACAAGTAAACTTTAGAGCTGCTATTACTGAAGTGTGACTTGCACTTTTCATTTTTATATAAAGAAGAACTTGTATTTTGCACAAAAAAATAAAAAGATGTAGTATTTTTTGAGAGATCCAGTGATTGGGACATTTAAGAAATTAAGTTATGAAAGGAAACTTGGTTTGTACTTCTCACTACTAACAAGTCTTGTTGACAAATATTTTCAGATCAGAGTTTCAAATAAAGTAAATTGAAGACGTCATTTAAAAGGTGTTTTTTCTCAAAGGGAACATTGACTACCTCTGTCTTGTCTGCATGCCAAATGTTCGCAAAGTGTGTGGATGATCCATAAGTATTGGAACTCTTACAAAATGTTTTGTAAGAATAAAAACAGCAAAACAAATTACAGCAATTAGTCACGAAAAAAAAGATACAGCAACAACAATCATGAAAAAAGAAAGATTAATTAGGTGTTGAAATTGTTTGTCTAAGGCATGAAATTTCTACTAAAAATAATGCCAACAAAAAGTCTCTGACAGTGTTTGAGGCAACTGAGCTTGACTGTTCCAAGGTTTTCTAACAAAGGTAACCAGTAATAGCAGGTTAGGGAAGTAACTTATGTTCATAGCTAACAAAGTTCTTCAAGTGTAGATAACAATGAAATTATTGTTAATTATTGCAGAAGTTGTGTACCAAGTAACAGCTAATGAATGTTTGATGAATTTGGCACATCAGTGAACATGAGACATTAATTTGCATCACAACAAAAATATTTTATGATCATGGAATCCAAGAGTCCTTTGAGGTTAGAAAGCAAATCTGTGATATGAGTACATTGGATTAATTGGTAATTTCCATTTAACATACTTGACTGCTGATTCATGACAAAATCCATATTAATGCAGAGATTTACTAAAACTTAGTTTGAATAATAAATTTCATGATCTTTAAGTTATAAAAATAAACATGTATGTATATCTCTTGGTAAGTTTTGTATAGCATATCTTTTATTGAGCCAAAGTTTTAAGCCTCTGAAATTACTCCTTTTCTTAAAAACCTTCACATTCAAGGTATTGAGAATTTCTTAGAATTTGCGTGGACCTCAGGGTATTTAAATTGCCTCAAATTCAATTCCCAGAAATTCCCAAGAATTCCACCCTTCTTAAATTATAGGTACCGGTAGTTTGTATAGCTGAGAATTCCTAGGAATTCCTGGGAATTCCAAGTCCTCAGCTTTTTAAATCGGAGCTAATTTGCAAAGTTGGGAATTTTTGAGAATTCCTAGGAATTCCCAGAAAACTGGGAATTCAGTTTGCAAGGGTCATTTGCATAATTGGGAATTTTTGAGAATTCCTAGGAATTCCCAGAAAACTGGGAATTCAGTTCACAAGGGTTGGGAATACTACACACATGGATCAGGGAGGACAGGAAACATATTAACACAGAGCTCCTTTGGGAGCCATTTAGTCTGGAAAAGTTAATGAACTTGACCAGTAACCATAGTGTCAATATGTAACTTAAAAAATGTCAGTAGGTGATCAATGAGTTTGGCTTATCTTATATAGAGTGACATGACCACATTTGAGAGACCTGATTACACTCGAGAGAAATTTGAGCAACTTGCTGGGAAAATGTGACTACAGGTCATGTGACCTACACTCCTACTCATATGTCAACATACTTGAGGAATCATCCGGTACACACACTGCTACATCTGGAATATTGGCCTCTGGAATTCCTGGAATCTGAACTTTGCAAAAAAAGCCTCTAGGACAATCTGACTGACTTTTCTTTCCTAACACAGCTATTTGGCAGCTTCTTGACTTTTGCTTTTGACACTGAGTTGAATAATGGCATTTCCATTCTCCATGAGAACAGGTGCTGTCACATAACAAGGAAAATTTAGTTTTGAATTTGTACTTTTTTTTTCAACCAAGTACAAGTATACAAGTGTATAATGGACTTTTTTTAGGATGCAATAACATACTTAAGAGAGGCACTTTCTAGACAAATTGAACGAAGATTCTACAATAACACTTTTTCCTTATGTTTTGAGTTAGAATAAGAAACTCACATTTCTTCAAAAATCATAGCTTAATTGTCATCTCATGTCTCTTTTATTTTAAGTTTACGCCCAAAATTAGAATTCACATTCTAGGTAAACGTGTCCATATTCCCTTCATAAAATATGCTTTTTAGAGACTCGCAACATACATGTTGTTTTCTCAGCTCCAGAGGGAAACAGATCCTTAAATTATGGAAGTCTATCAGGCCTACATATGAACATGTTTGCATTTCTTATAAAAATATGCATTACAAATGGCAAGAATCTGTACTAACCATGATTCACAAGAGTCTTTTCCTGTCCTGGTCTCACCAAATAAGTATGTCTTAGTACCATGATAACACTCTGTCATTGCAAAATTCTTCAGTAAGTATTGTTAGTTTACCAAATAGATTCCATGTTACCATCTGTTCAGTAATAGATTGTAGATGACTTCAAAATGTGGTACTGACAAAAAAAGGTATGCAATGCATACAATGCACTGCAATGCATAATGTGGTAATAACAAAAACAGATATGCAATGCAGACATGTGGGTACAGTGCTGTAAGGGCTTTGTGGTAAATGAATGCCTAACAAAGGTCCTGAATTTTAGATTCCACAAAAAGAGAGGCTAAATGTAAAAACTAGAAAAAAAAATTGTAATTACCAAAATCCCCACAAAACTTGTTCCTATGATTTGCATATACACAGGAAAAATAAAGGGTATAGGGGTCCTCACCACTATCTTTTCAGACCACCATTAGGTGAAATTTAGTCAAATGCAAATCCCCTTATTTTGCTGTTATTGGACTAACTTTGGACAGTTGTAGAAAGTGCATGCTGTTGATGTTACCCAGACACACCCAATGTTACATGACCTCAAACAAAAAATGAGCAGTCTGAGACTGCAGGTGGCTACCAATTTAGCACTATTTTTATACCATACAACAGAAATAGAGGTTAATTATAATGATGCTAGAAGGAAGTGTTGCAGACAATTTGAAGGCACATGCAAAACAGAGAAGCCTGCAGCATCATACTTGATTCTTTTAACTTTGCCTGCTAGATATAAATAATCTACTAATCTCATTACAATTCCATTTTTCATGAGACTTTTGTTTCATGCAACAAGGCATTTCAAAATTTAGAATATTCTGTCACTCAGTGTTTTGGGATATTCTGTGATTCCCTGTTTTAGGATATGCCACCATTCCAGCAAAAGTTATCTTCTCAAAGTTTCCTTCACGCTGCAATCACACCTCACATATCTTTCTGCTACAAAAAGTTTTGTCCATGAAGGGCCTTTGTGAAACAATTACTGTCTTCTTAATGTCAAGGCAAGCACCAATAATAATTTCTTAATTTCTGTTGAAAACAGCCAGCTAATATAAATGGTAAAGTTCTCTGTTTTCAATGGCATGTTTTTATTAAAGTTTGTATGATATGCTGATCACATTTATTTGTTTCTCCTGCATGGAAAAGTTTCAGTTTGTTTGTTTCTTTTATCATGCAGGCAAGAGGCCACTATGAAGTGATTTTGAATGTAGCCTTACGGCAACCACTGAGAAAATCATATATTGGGTGTAGTTATGCACAAAAAAAGTTGTTTAAAAAACATTTTTCTCTCTTCAGTGTATGCTGCACCCAATAATCTTTGATGCAGATGTCACACTACAAAGATACTCTGAAAAAATGAAGTTATGCATTATATTGTTGCTCTGACTCACTCTTAGCCTCTTACATTCACATAACAAAGTGGCTTTGCCCAGCTCACATTAAATGGGAGACAGTAGCCACAGAAAGTGAGTGGTTTTGGTTGGTGTCTTGTCAATCAGCAAGACTATCTCAAGAAATTCAACCAGGCATTAGACATCAAGCTGTTTCTCCCTTTATGTTTTCAAATGAAGACGCTTAATTAACTTGTTTCAGCCCAAAATAAGGAAATAAAGAAGTAAGACAACAACAGATATCCTTCATTGACACAAATTTGGACACCTAAATAAAGAAACTGAAAGTCTTGCATCTACCACCCTATAAATGAGTGAAATACAAAACCGGAAACAAACTTGCTTTTATAGGGTGGCAACCTTGAAGTGTAGCAATGAAATAGTAGAGAGAAAAGCTTGAATTACATGAAAACATTTAAAACATAATTTTTGTTGATAAATAATTGAAAGTAGAATTTTTCAATTTACTAACTGGTAAACTTATGGTCATGATAGAGTTTTTCAATGATATCCCCAAAATCAACCACATTAGTGGCTGCAAAAACAACTCAACTTGCACAAGTAAATTTCTTTCAGAGATGCTCAGAAGGCAACTCCTCATTCAATATTCTTCTGATTGGGATGTTTAAATATATCTCCTCAGGTCAGTCTACTTTGACTTCAAAATAAACATACACAAGAGAAGAGTATCAAATCAAAGTTTGAGATTTGTGAAAAACAATCTCAATCTTATTCTGAAGAAGTCATTAAGAATTATGAAACAGCAAGTCTATTGATCTTACTTTTACAGATTCCTCTCATGATTCCTATCACACTCCCAGAAAGGCACTCATCTTTGAGGAGTTCACATTCATTGCTGTATTGTTTTCCATTGCAAAATCCACACACTGGCTCATGCTTGAAACCAGCACAACTTTGAGAACAGCTGCACATAGGAAAGCCATCATTCCCTAAGGTACAAATCTCGCGAAACCCACACTTCTTTCCTTTACAAACAGCTACATAATAAAAAGTAAATAAAGTAATAAAATAGTTAATCTAACTGATTCTCTTGATCTGATCTTCAGACCTGTGCCTGGGTTTCTGAGATTAAACTGCAAAGGAAAATTTATCAACTAGTCAATGAAGGATATCCTTCTTTGATCCAAATCACATAGTCATACAACAAGAAGGCCACATTAATAATTAACAGTGTGGATAAACTTACCAGGTTTACATGTGCCTACTCCTGCCCCATGATGCCCACCCCGCACCACACATTTCAGACCAGCATCACAACGTCCCATCCTCTCCAACTGCCCACCACATAATTCCCCTTCAACCTTTGCACAAACACTACAACAGCCACCTCTAGAATTTACCACACCTCCCTTGCAATTGGTAGGAGGAGAACACTGTACCCGTTTGCATGGAAGACACGACAGAGACATCAATGGGGTCAGTGCCACTAAAAAGCTTCCAATAAGCAGCAATCTAGCCTCCATTTTCACAAAAGTCTAAAATAAAAAGATTGTAATAATTATTAGTGTCAATCCAACAAGTAGTACAATAAAAATATTATGATCATCGACTGTACACTGATTGAAAGCCCACCACCTGTGTTATAAATACCTTCCCACAAATAATGGTCCATGTGTGTAATTATCATTTTAATAAGTTACTTGGCACAAACAATATTCTGCTGTTCTGTATATGATAGGTCACTTCCTCAAACTGAAAGAGTGATCTGACATCATAACCTGATTAAAAAAAACAGCTTACATTACATGAACCTGGTAATAAAGGGTGCCAGCAATGTACATTAGTTAGAAATATACTAAAATAGAGAAACAACTAGAAAAAAAACAATAAGAAATGAAAAGCCATGATAACCTACAGCTTCCATTGTTGGGAAACAAAAATTACAAATTATTAAGCATACATTTTGTCCCAGGGTGGTTCACTTTGTGTACAATCAAATTGAACCACTAGGGACAAATGAATTGGACTGGGATATAACCATCTATTTAAGGAAAGTTAAATAGATGGCTGGTATTCAATTTATGTACAATCAAATTGAACCACTAAGGACAACTGAAGGACTGGGATATGACCATCTATTTAAGGAAAGTTACAATCCTGTATCCTTTTTTCGACAAATTTCCCCCATGTATGGCTTGCTGCCTTCATACTTAATGAAAAAAAAAATTTTCACTTTGCTTATTTGATCATAAGTTTCCCAGGTGGAATGTTGAAAAGAAAACTTAAATAACTGACATTGAGAAAATTATGATGCACAGAGAAACAATGAAATATTGAATGCATTACATTAAATATTTGACCAGTAATTAATGATTGTATGAATGTAGAACGAGCCAGTCTGCTTGAATTTTTCAGAATAAGGAAATAACAAAACCTCTAAATTAGCGAGTCACATGAATTTTGAGGACTGGGACCATGGATGAAAACACTGGCATCTAAGCTTTCACTTGACTGTCTGTCCTTAAATGTTGTGCACTTTTTTTGCATTTACTTTCACATTTAATATTTAGCTTCATTTTAAAATGCAATTGTAAGGTTGATGTATTTTTTAATTCTTAGTTACTCCACCCTGCAAAAAGAATTAAACCGATAAACCATTCTAAGTCCTAAGATACATACAAATACATACATTCAAACAATTTGGAGTATTGTGTTTAGCATCCCTTGAATATCTTTCACAATGCATGAAATACCTCATTTATGAGGAAGAGTTTCATCAGATTGAATGTAAGGTTTGAAAACAAGGGAAAATCATTGCTGGGAAAAATTTGAGATGGATTATAATGTCAACAATTATAGCCTTCAATCCTGCACCTAAAATAGAATCTCCCATTAGCAATTACTCATGATCTATTCTGCCTTACACAATCTTCTAGGGAAGACTCAATTGTTCTTTTAAATGAAGGAACATTTAATATCTAACAAAATAAACTTTCTCAAAATGAAAAAAAAAATTGAGTAAAGTGCACATCAAATTAATACTTCCTACCTAACTATAGAATAACCTTACAAAAAGTTAGAAAAATTAAATGCATAATTGAATTCAAATTCAGTTTAGGTTAGAAGCTCTTGACTATGAACAAGACATTATAACCAGAGAATAAGATACTAAAAATTTTTGTCTGTTAGTTCTAAATGATTGGAACACTACTGAACATTCTGCAAAGTCAGGTCAAATTTTGGGAAATACCCACCAAAACACATGACCAATGAGTCCATCAGATTTCCAAACCAGGCACTTCTACTACATGTAGAGAATGTCATACTCAGACCTTAACTTTAATTTAGCTAGATTTTCATGGTGACAGCAAACTGAAGTCAATTGAAATACAATTCCCTATGTTTCTACTTAATGCCATGACCATGACAAGGCAAGAGGGTGCCACACCCTATTTAATGTTGCCTTTACTAGTATCTCAATATTGAAATCAAGGGGAAACAATAACCCTCAGAGGAAACATATATTCATCTTTTAGCTTAAAGACAGTCTGTCTTTGATTGACACTAATGGAAGCCCCAAATATTTTGGAACAAATTGTTTTAATACATTGTCAACATGACGTTGACAATGTGGACATTGGAATGCTGTCAATAGAGAGTTTAATTACTCTCTCAAACAAAAAAGGCTTCCACTGACTGTAAAACTTTAAGTAAGAGTATTCTTGAGTAAATATCCGTCTGCAACATTTGCATCCTATTAACGACAAATAGTAGTATGAGTGAGAAATTAATTTCCTTTGTTCCTATTAACAATAGTCCAAGGCATATAAACTGGATTTAGAGAAAAAATTTTGGCTTTCTTGTAGACTGAGGCCATCCCATAAAGTGCTTTGTTTCCAATTCCCCTAACCTACCCACTTTTTAGAAAATGTAAAAACTGCGAATCAACTGTCTGAACTGTTTGTGCAGCAAATTTTTTAAGACTGAAATATTTCACATTCTCGCTATATTTCAATGGCAGGTGATTGAGAAGTGCTTGAGTAAGGAAACCAATTAGCAAGGGAATGCACCCATAAGCGATATCCCCTTCTTCTTTTTCTAGCCTGAACAACCAACAGACATACTTTGACAAAGTGAAGGTGATAGGCGTCAACACGGTAACATGAGGCCAAGTGCAACTGTACTTAAACAACAATGCCTGGCCCCCTTAAATCAATTTTTGGCACGAACTAATCGGTTGGCGAGACCTCTTCTTCCACTGTTGATTTCTCTGTAAGTTCAGACAGCAAAGGTCACAGTTGATACGTTTTGGCCGACTGCCACATTATTGTAGGACGAAACCCGACCCCAGCAGCGCGTCCTTTACCCGCTCTATCATTCAAAACCAATTTTTGGAAGAAATCTCTCATGTCATTGGAAATGTTATCTCTTTCTGTTTAATAAATGATAATGTAAGTCAACAAAAGTCTTTTCCGGGAAGAATGTGAGCAACTGAGAATTATCCAATTTTATAACGAAAGCTTTTGATGTATTTCGGGCGCAAACAATAATCTGATAGCATGCTGAGAACTTCGCTTTAGCTAAAAAACGCAAACGATAAAGACGCTATGGTATGACAACTTCGCGAGTATTGGGAATTCAAAAAGGTTGTGATAGTCCTATCTAGAGATATGTAATAGATCCTCAGCAAAACTAGGCAGAGCAGACAAGGAAATTGTCGAACGAACGGAAATCCGATTAAAACTGACTCGCACTTCTTCTTTGGTGCGTGCGACAAGCTGCATGTATTTAATGAAAAATGTTCTTTGATGCTTCGGGTCAGTTCGTCTCTTTCAAAATCCTATTGTAAAAGACTTAATCACAGAATTACCAAATTAAAACCACTCTAAAGCCCAAAGCCTCTGCGTAGCGATCCTAACTCAGAACGTCCTGTTAGCGTTCTTTTATTGGCAAGTTGTTGAATTCATTTACAAAAGATTACGCTCATGTACTCAGCTGCATGTCATAAAGATCTACAACATCCACTCCCTCTCTATACACTGTACAAATACACCTTACCTTACTGATACAGTGACTCTCATGTAACGACCTCTACAAGAACGTTCTTTCTGTGAACACTGAATCAAAATTCTCGTAGATGATGCGCAACGTGGGAAACTGATACGATATATGTCAAACTCTTGACGTCGATGTATTTAGAGCCCGGGGAATGTCAATCAGTTACAATGACTAGTGGAGGTCACGTCATCATGTCCTTACAAAAATAATTAGAGATCGGCTCTAATTGGATTTTTTTTCGGAACTGGACAGGAATAAATATTAACAAATTGAAGAGGATCGACGTATGACTCAAATATTTAGGTTATGCCCGGTGGCAGAGACGATTAATTTCAAAATTTGTAACAGAGAGACATCAGCTTAGATGACCAGAAAGAGGAGAGAAAGACAACGAGAGTGGAACGTACATTAGCTTTTTTCAAGTCAGTCGTTTAGGTTTGTACCGATGGTCACCCAAAACTCTCCCTCATGCTCTGAACAAATAGATCAGCAGGAGGTGAACCAATATAAGATGATTATAAAGGTAATAATAACTCACCACTTCTAATCATTTCATTATATGGGGCTCTTTGCCATCAAACGATTTCGCAATTCGAAAGGGAGATGATCTTTTCGCTGAGGCGAGGAGCCAAACACGAATCTTTTTCCAGGCTTCCCTATTTTTCTTCCTCTCTAAAGTTTTCCTTTATCGCCTAAAATGGCCCGAGTTACCATTTGTGTCAAGCCCGTCATCGCTGTATAAAGGGTCTGTTTAAAAATAGTTTGTGATGGTCATTCCTGAAAACTTTGGAAGAAAAAGCTCTCAACAGCAACAACAACAGTAACTTTTTTTAATATGATAAGCAGCTATTCGGTAGCAAAATAATTGTCACCAAATCATGCTTAGAATGTCATCTTTGCAAATTCTTCACAATCGATGCTAACTACAAAATCTTAAGGAACTATGGATGCCGTCTAATTGTTAATGTTGTAAGAAATAACTGCAGCTGAACTCCAAAGGGGATATAGTTTGTACTTGCCGCAGCTATCGCCCTGCGCTGAGCTCGATAGTGCTAAGTGCGCGTTTGGAAACCTGTGAAAATCCCAAGACTGCGACGGATACTCTTATTGACTTGTCAACAGCCGTGGACAAGCTCATCAAAATGTCTCTTACATTTCAAAAGCCACATCAGGTTTTAAAAGAACAACGACAACAACTCGTCGTTTTATGAAACGTGGTAATGTTTTTTAATCATTGTTTGATATTCTGCAGCTAAAGGTACGTGTCAGTGCTGTGTTCCTTCTCTTCCATTTTGCCTACAGTTTCTTCCTTGTCATTCGGAAAATCTTTGTCAGAATGTTGTTGTTTATGGGTGATAGCATCAAAATGTTCTTTGTTTGTTGGTTGTTTTTGTTCTTGTTGCTGTTTTAAGTTTTTGTTTTGATTGTAGTCCAATTGTTGATGGTTTATGTCTTGGTGGGGAGGACGTTGTCTCTGGTTTTTCATGTCGCTGCGGTTCCCACGCTGTTCCTTGTCCACATTGGACGGTACAGTCCAAGGACTGCTCGATCTCGTTCCTGTTAAGCTGAAGAGGCGTTTTACCCGGTTGGACGCTCGATGTGCATTTTTCTTGATCTGAAACACAATAAATGTTTCATTACGGCATGATGGACGTTATTTTCCAGTAAGTGATAAATTGTGTGAATTGCAACGCATGATAAAGAGAAAATTGAGTTAATTTTCCCTATTTATTTGATGATACTTACCTCGTCATCAAACCAGTATTGAGCTATCAGGAAATAGAGCCCCTTAAACAGTAAATGGATAGAAACATGAGCTAATTGAAAGATCTGTTAAAACTAACTGATTTCTGATCTTTCAAACTACTTTTTGCCTGCAAACGATTAGAAGGACTTCTCACCTGCATGGAGTTTAAAACAGCAAAGAGATATTGGAATACTAGAGAAGTGTTGTGGATGGAAATGAATCCGAGCAGCCATGTCACACCCAACAGCGGAACTAGAATCACCAATGTCTTAAACGCTGCTCTGTAGAAAAAAGGGGAAAAATTGTGAAGCAAACTACGGATTCGTGCATATTAGACGATAATTTCGAACTCATTTAAAAGAGATGCCAACTTCCCAACACGTGTGGAAACAGGTTAATCTCTCACGTCACCACTAGTTCGTCTACATAAAAAAAATATGCCATTGACTCAAATCGATCTCTATTTAAATTACGCGTTCCATACAAAAGAAGATCCCTCAGAGAAAATGAACCGAAGACCTAGCGATAGAGACCTTAGAATTATCATCAACGAGAACTTGAAGTAATCACCCCTGTTTTCCTTAAATTTAACAAGGTCTATAGGCCCACCTACCTCATTTCGAGCTCTAAAGCTGACATTTTCGGGGATCTTTCCTTGTAGCGAGCCCTCTGCACTACAGTTTTGATGGCTACAATCAGCGCAATCAGGTTTACCTGCAATCCGGTAATAGAATATCACCTTACCAAGGAGTTGAGAAATTATTTAACCGACAAGAAAGTTCTGGACCAAAAGGAGACAAATTTGTTTTCAAAACTGCGAGTATTGTCTTTTATCAGTTTGCATTTCTTGTGAAAAGGTGTTGTAATCGCATTATTCTGATTCGAAAATACTACTGCACCGTAAAAACTGTTTTTATTAACCCCAACCCCCACCCCACCCCACCCCTCAAACACTTAAACATTGACGTGTTTCTTGATCTCAATATGCGACACACGTGAGGGGAAATAACAAAATTTACCACAATTCAAATATTTGCCCCGACGGGCAACATGATGCTTGGAATTCAACCAGTATTTCGGACAATGTATTTTGAGGAAAAATCCCCTTTTCTTTGTGTGTGCCATTGTTGACAGGATACTTTATGTCCAAAAAATCACGACATTAATCGTAACTTCCGACTTTCTCTCTGTTTATCTTTAAGTTGTTTGCGACGTCGTTTGCCACAGTCTGCTTCGTGTACTCACCCAGCAGTATAATCCCGAGCAATTTTCGTTTGTTGAGGGATGGAGTACATTGCATCTGATACATTTAGCTCGCGTAATGTTGGTAGCGTGGTCATGTGTTATTCATGAACAACAGATACCTCACTTACCAATAATATAAATGCCACTGGTCCAGCAAATGACCATATGACTTGATGAGAAATCCAACAACTATAGAAAAACCATGAAATGCAAAACAATTAAGCCCTTATTTGTTTCTCTTATCTTCATTTCATTCTGTTCCTGAGGCGGAAATATCTCTTTTCTCCTAGCGCCAATGAGAGATACAAAGACAGTACAGGTTTTGTGCCAAGGAAACATGTTCACTTGTTTTTGATCTGCTGGATTGCTCGGCTTGTTTAAAACTGGCCTTATTATTTTGGACAATAACCATGGTAACGGGAAAGTTCGCTTTAGCTCAGTTGAATAGATGGAAAATTAATTACGATCCAAGAATTCTGTTAGAACGACACTTTGCTGTACATAGGTTTTGTCGTCTGCAAACACTGTGAAGTAGAAGTTTTCAAGTTCCTTGTTTACAATTTATTTATATTTATCTTTGCCTTTCCGCAACCAGTTCATTTTATGTCATTTTTTCTATTCAGGTGTACCACCACGCGATGATGTTAAAAGATCCAACTTACAAGTTATCTCTTACATATTGGTGGCGGGAGATGCTTGCTGTTACTGCCACAACGACAGCGGGCGCACCTAATAGGTAAGGAACATTCATTAACGCAGACTTTTTTAAACCTTTAACCCCTAAGAGTGATTAGGATCTTATTTCTCCTTCCAATATCACCGCTAGATCAAACATTAAGATCACCAACTAAAGAAACTCAAACAAATTCTCCATTTCAGCATCTTAGGAAATGTTTAGAGAAGAGTATAAAGAACATGCTCACTGATGTTAGGGTGTAAAGGGTTAGCTATTTCTTTTTTTGCCTGATTATGACCAAACTACGTTTAGTTACACTGTCCCTACCTCACCATGCCGCTGTCCCTACCTCACCATGCCGCTGTCCCTACCTCACCATGCCGCTGTCCCTACCTCACCATGCCGTCAGTATTCAGTTTGAGATGCAAAAATAAATGACGTTTTCATCATTTGAGGGATTATGCCCCCCGTCCACCCACCCACGCACAAGTAGTTATTCTTTTATCTTTCCTGAAAGGGCTATCACGCAGGTATATCAGATTGCTAAGTAAATTGATCTAATTTTGACCTGTGGCAGGTGCACTTAAAAACTCTTACTTAATTCGAGATAATCTGGGTTGAAACTTTAATCTAATACGCCAAAAATATGCCTACCCCAAGCAAAGAGGAAATAAGTTCTCACTTTACTGGTGACTCGGAAAACTTTCACCATACCACGGAGAAGATTGATTCCCTCGACCATCATCCAGAAGAACGCCGCCAATTGAAAATAATGAAGAAGAACGGCAAAAGCGTAACAAACAGCCTTTACATAAAACAAAAAATAAAATAAATGAGTTCGTGGAACTCCCTTGACTAAGAAACGACTACTGACATCAAAAGATTCGCAACAGAACTCGATATTGGCGACTGATATTAGGTTACGTTTCCGCTTTCAAAAATTAGTACAGTAAGTATGAATTTCGCACTTCCAAACTTACCTTTATTCGAGCTCCAGGATAGGCGATAAGAAAAACGAAAATGGCGAAAACCTCAGCTGCGGCTAGGTTTATGTGGATGTTTAGAGTCTCTGTTCGCCTTCTGAATACGGATAAAATTTCAAACACCGTAGTGTTGAGAGGATTAGTGATTGTTATAGGATTGAGTTAAGTATAATTAGTAATCGTGTTTGAGCGCCAAGATTACACGGCTCGAGTTGAGACGTACTTAATCTTATTATTAATTGATCGGGTCAATAACAAATCGGATTTGAATATGATGAGTTTTAACACTTTTAAACCAGTAGTGATGAACAGGTTACTAACTATCTAAAGAAAATAGAACCAGTTAGTTTCATTTGATTTTGTTTCTCGTTTGGAGCCGGTCAACCTAGACACGAAATAACTTTTTGCAGCCTTGATTTTGACTGATAAGAGTGGTCAAGGGTCAAGGTATTGCTGAATCTCGCTGGCT